TCTCCTCTCTTGATTCACTTATTTAAAGAGTGTTTTTCGCTTCTGCACAGCAAAAGAAACTGTCAACAAGGTAAAGAGACAGCCATCTCAATGGGAAAATATATTTGCAAGCAATGCCTCCGATAAGGGCCTAATTTCCAAAATATACAAAAAACTCATACGACTCAATAACAACAACAAAAAACAAATGATTCAGTCAAAAAATGGGCAGAGGACCTGATCAGATACTTCTCCCAAGAAGACATACAAATGGCTGTCAAATATTTGAAAAGATGCTCGACATCGCTAGCTATTAGGGAAATGTAAATCAAAACCACAACGAGATACCATCTCACACCTCTTAGAATAGCTGTCATCAACAGGACAAGTAATAACAAGTGTTGGAGAGGATGCGTAGAAAAAGGAACCCTCATACACTGCTGGTGGGACTGCAAATTGGTACAGCCACTATGGAAAACAGTATGGAGGTTCCTCAAAAAACTAAGAATTGATCCACTATATGATCCAGCAGCCCCTCTCTACTGGATATTTACCCCAAAGACTTGAAAAGATATATCTGAAAAGATATTTATACACCTATGTTTATAGCAGCATTATTCACAGTAGTCAGGACATGGAAGCAACCAAAGTGTCCTATGATAGATGATCGGATAAAGAAGATGTAGTACACATGTACAATGGAATATTACTTGGCTATAAGAAGAGATGAAATACTGCCATTTGTGACAACATGGATGGACCTCGAGATAATCATGCTAAGTGAAATAAGCCAGACAGAAAAAGTTGAAAAGCACATGATATCACTTACATGTGGGATATAAACCTAAAAGCAACAAATGAACAGGACAGACAGAGACTCATAGACATGGACAATGGGAGGAGAAGGGTGGTAGGTGGCATAAAAGGGGTCAAATATGTGGTGACAAATATATGGGCGGTGAACACACAGTGCAATATATATATATATGCCTTACTGTTGAAATATACGCTTAAAATTTACTGGATTTTGTTAACCAAGATTACCATGATAGATAGATAGATAGATAGAAAAATAGACCTAAAGTTGTTAAAACACTTCCTTAGCTCCTGTAAATGCTCATTGCTAGTTGTTGTTATTATCCTGATCATTAATATTAATATTAATGTCATTATTCAGTCCAAGGAAAGACCTTGGGATAAGGTGGTGAATGGTAAGGAAGAATAAAAAGTGCCAGCCCCAGGAGCATCCAGTAAAATTGGTGGGGGGGAACAGTGGAGGAGGAAAGGGATAATCAAACCAGAGAATTGTAAAATTCACACAAGAAGAACCAGGAGATGGAGCTCTGGGAAGTGGGTGCTTCAGGCAAAGAGTGTGGAGAAAGGGGCATGTTAGGTAAGGGAGAATAATAATTTCAACATACTTGACACATGATGAGAGGGAACGGAACCAGTATTACTTAAAACTGCCCAGGTAGAATTGAATGCACACCTAGGTCTGGGAAGTCATGCCATGAAAACACAGAGCAAGAAACTTGGGCTATAGTCCTGAGTCCAGAATAGACTTGCTACGTGACTTCTCAGGGATTCCTCCAGGCCTCTGTGTTGACGGTCACAGGAGATGAAAGGAATAAAGTGTTTTATTCCTTGTAGATCTCTCCCCTGCTCCTCACACACAGGTGGGTTGATTGTTACGTCAGCAGCAAGTATTCTCTGTATTTGAGATAACCACATAAATCAAAGTTCCTCCTCCTGATCTATCCTCTTCACTCCCCACTCCCAGCACTGGCCGTACAGCGAGGGACACTGCCCATATGATTTAAAATCCCTTCCTATTGTGAAGTTCTTTAACTGTAGTTTGTTTTCTGTTTTGTAGACACCAAGTCATTATATGTTTACGTGGTTTCTCCTGGATGGTGTTTCTGCAGTTTTCATCGTTTCCATATTTTATTTTCATTGGTAAGAATATATTTGTGATTCTAAATGAATTTTTCCCAGAATAAAATTATGAATGGTTCTTACAGAAAGCTAAAAACAAACAAACAAAAACAGTTAAACACTCTACCTGTAATCCTGAATGGCAAGTTCTCAGGAAGACAGGGTTAATATTCTGAACCTCTCATTTCTTCTCATGTTGCCTGTAGCTCTTCACACCCTTTCCACCTCCTCGGCATAAGACAATATTCTAAGGATGAAAACTCTCACTGAAGCTCAGTTAAAGCCTGTAACTGCAGATTCAGTGTGGATCAGTTGGGGGAGGACAGAGGTTAAACGCTGTCCAAAGCAAATGTCTCCATCTTCCTGCCTTCTACAAAACCAGACATGCAGGGTGCTGTGCAAAGAGCAGGTTCACAAACTGGGAAGGCTGGATTTCTGCCCTGGATTTGCCCCTTGCTCAGTGGATGACCCTGGGAAAATCACTGTGCTTTTCTAGGCCATAGTCTTTTTATCTGTCCAAGAAAATGACATTTAAGATTCCTTGCAGGCCAAATCCTACAGGGTTTTAAGGTTTAAGGCAAGAGAGAAAACATCCTGGAAGAATAATTTAAGCTAGAGGACGCCATGGTTGTGTAGACCTCACCATGCTCATCATTTCTTCTTTTGTGGGTTATCCGTTAAAGGGGGAAAGTACAAACGCTCTGCTTAAGTGAGAATATGACTGGATAATGTTTCTTTTTTGGCCACTGTCTTGGCTTATTGCCTTCTTCTGAAGTATTTGAGATTCATGGATAGTCTCCTTCCTTCCAGGTGGAAAGAAAACAAAGAAAATGTCTCAGAAAGCACCAGCAGTCACACAGGTAAAGTCAGAGGTCTAGCCCACTCCTACCCATTGCCTGCAGGTCACAGGGCCTGCTTTTCATGTTTGACAAGAACTGAAGGAGTGTGGGAAATTGGGGGTTTGGGACCAGGGAGAAATTGAGCTGTGTGGGCTGAGCACAGAGTCTGGATGACCCTTGACATCAGACTTTATTTTGGACCTCATTCTCTAGCAGTGAGACCCCTTCAAAGAAAATCAAATGTGGTGTTTTTGTGTTAATTTGTTCAAATATTCATTCATTACAAAGGCATTGAATATCCACTTTGGGCCAGGCACTCTGATAGGAACTGATGATGACTGAAAGCTGTCTGTGGAGGGTGGCCCCAGAGAGTGGAGAACTGGCCTACAGAGAGCAGTGAGGAAGCAGGGAAAAGTATAGCAATTGACACCACTGGGCCAGGAGCCTAGGTCCAGGATAGAGTGGCTTCCATACCATGCCGTTTTGATCACTGTCACTTTGTGGTATAATTTGAAGTCGAGCAGAGTGATGTCTCCAGCCTCATTCTTTTTTCTCAGGATGGCTTTAGCAATTCGGAGTCTTTCGTGCTTCCATACAAATCTGATGATTTTTTGTTCTATTTCTTTAAAAAGTGCCGATGGGATTTTGATGGGGATTTCATCAAATCTGTATAATGCTTTAGGTAATAAGGTCATTTTAACTATGTTGATTTTTCCAGTCCAAGAACATGGACTGTTTTTCCACTTCATTGTAGTTTTTTAAATTTCTTTAATAGAGTCTTATTAAAGACTCTATTATTCCTAGATATTTTATTGTTTAGGTTTATTCCTAGATATTTTATTCTTTTTGTTGCAATTGCAAAAGGGATCGTTTTTTCCATTTCTTTTTCTGACCATTCATTATTAGAGTATAGGAATGCTATGGATTTTTGAACATTGATTTTGTATCCTGAAACATCACTATATTTGTTTATTATTTCTAGTAGTGTTTAGTGGAGTCTTTAGAGTTTTCTATGTAGAGAATTATGTCATCCACAAATAGCGACAGTTTGTCTTCTTCATTTTCTACTCAGATGCCTTTTATTTCTTTCTCTTGCCTGATTACTCTTGCTAAGACTTCCAATATTATATTGAATAACAGTGGCGATAGTGGACAGCCTTATTCCTGATCTTAGAGGAAAGGTTTTTAGTTTTTTACTGTTAAGTATAATGTTAGCTGAGGATTTGTCATATGTGATTTTCATTATGTTTATTATGTACTTCTATGCCTATTTTATTAAGTGTTTTAATCATAAATGGATGCTGTATCTTGTCAAAGGCTTTTTCTACATCTATTGATATGATCATATGATTCTTATTCTTTATTTTGTTTATGTGGTGTATCAAAGAATATTTTTAAAATAATCTCCCTCAGTCCTGTTCATTGTTTACATAATCTTTTGCAAGAACCTATTTGGAAGGTGCACTTTTTTCCCCAGAGAATTGTGGATTTGGAAAAATCCGCAGACAAAAGTCTCATGTGCGGATGCCCTTGTATTCTTAGGTACAACTGTGAAGATGAGCGCTGTTACCTGGACCTGGCCAGGCTGAGAGGTGTACACTACATCACTTGGAGAAGGCAGAACAAAGTCTTTCCTCAAGATAAGGTAAAGTTCAATGGCAAAACTCACTTTGTTTTGCTTTTTAATTGTTTAAATTATCTAATTATTAATATGAAAATCTATGATCGAACTTTAATCCAGAGATGAGCTGTTCTCTGGAAGTGAGTTGTTGTATCTTATATTTGCAGATTAGGGGAAAAAGGTAATTAAGCACTCTATCTCTTTAATGTTAATAAGCCAACATCATGAAATTTGGGCCTAGAATGATCTATTAAATTATATATAGAAGGGATCAGCAAACTGTGGACCAGTGGACCAAATCTGGC